TGGTATATAGCACTTGAATAGAGCTGCGACAGTAAAGATGTTGGCGAGGTTTTGGTTGATAGTCTAGAAGTATGGTATTCATTGTTTAGGTTGTTTGATTGTGAAATAAGGTAAAGTTGGTGTTTAGATACTGTATGGTTTGCCTGTGAAACACTATTCACTATTTATAGGCGACAACTAATAATTGCATTCTGCTCGAGAAATTAGATATATTGTAATTTACAACGGCCAGTTTATGGTCAATAGTTTGAGTTTTCCCAAAGGTAACACAACGGATAAATTACTAATTGCCTTAAATTTGTAGTAAGGCGCATCATATACAACTCGTTTGGAAACAACTGTAAGCATTGATGTAGGCTTGGACATATTAGATTCTTTATAGTTCACGAAGAATTTGAATTTCAACCTTTCTCTGCTTGGTCTTGACACATTAATATGAGTATGCTAGATGATGCCTTGATTACCTTCCTTTTATTCTTTAGTCACTGTTTCTTTTACATTTATACATTGCACATTTTCACAATCTTTTGACTGGTTATTTTGTAATCTAACATTTAAGTCATCCGTTTTGCTACTCTGCCAAAATTTAAATTTAGATACAGGACTATTACTAATGCATTAGAGTTAGGGATGAACAAAAAATCGCTTTTTTGAAACCGTTAGTTTGCGTCCACGTTAATCAGTCAACATTTTGGTTTTGAACCGATCAAAACCATTTTGAAGTTGATTGGTTTAGGTTTCAATCCTTGCAAATTACTTCAAACCGCCAAACCGTTAAAAAAAAATCGAAAATAATTTACTTAATTTTATTTAATTCAATTAAAACTAAACGCATCCCAATTAAAAAGATACATTCATATTAGACATAATCAATTAAACTCAATATTTAAATGGACAATTATCCATCTCAATTAATTAATTAAAACATACCCAAGTACCCATCAGTCATCACAATTATGAATGCAAAATCCTCAAATTAAGTGAAATGTTGAACAACTGCTATTGAACCATAATCATCGACCGTCCATTACAATTGAGTAGATAATTAAATCTTGATTTTAATTCAAACTCACACATTTCTTTCCTTAAACTATTAATTTTCTCGAATTTCAGCTAAGTTTTTAGGTTAATTTATCCAAAATTTCTTTTTTCTTCGTAATTGTTTGCCATATTTTATTGGTTGTTTTGTTGTTTTGATCTAATTTGTATTGGTTTGCCTTAAAATTTTATCAGACAAGATTTTTTTATTATTTATTTGTATATCAATCACTCAATTAATTATTTATATTTTAACTTCGTTTTTAAATTTTACTGTTAATTGCCGAACAATCTATAGCAATATAGACCGGGCCTGCTTCCCATTCATTCTTTTATAAGGATGCTCTTTGCTTAAATGGTTGTTTTGAAAATTAGATGAATTAGTTTTTCGACATTATTTTAGTGAAATTGAATGCATATAAATACAAGATTGTTCTCCAAATTGCTAAAGATGTGTTAGTTATTTAAATATCCTACTAATTGTCGAATTCTTGATTTCTTTAGGATTTCGTTGTGTATGCAAATATGATTTGAGGAGGTGATTTGCCCTAAAATTTGGTTGCATAGTAACAAGAAACCTATAATGATTTATCAATAGTTGGATAAGATAGAAGTATTGAATGATTCACAAAAAGTTATAGAAGGTATTATCGTATTTGATCTTTCTTTTTCTTTTGTTAGTGGTTTTGTCTCATTTAACTATAATCAGTGACTTTATGTATTATATTCTTATCTTTATAAAAGAATGAATCGTGTGTTACAAATGCATATGTTGCGTCAATTAATATCGACTAAAAGGTTAAAATGTTTCTATTATTTTGCATTATAATGATTAGAATTATAGAACTTTTATGTGTAATATTTTCAATGACACTATTTATATTTTAGCGTGAAATTTTAGACTAATATTTATGATTTAACTTATTGAATATGTTTTATTTTTTCTTTGTTAAACCGTGGTTTTAAAACAAACAAAATCGAAAAAAGTGGTTTGGATTGGTCTTAGAAATTGAAATGGTTTGATTTGATTTGGAAATTTTTAAATTGCTTTAAGTGATTCGGTTTGCAAAATTTATTGCAAACCACCCAAATCCATCCGTGTTTACCCCTAATTAGAGTATATGCATATTAAAGAATAATATGTGAAAATTGAGATGAATATTCTTATGTATAACCTCAACTTAACTTGGGCTTATCCCATACTTGTCTAGCAACTACATACATGCTCTTTTTCTACTCGAGGCGTCAAGTGCTGAAGAGAAAGATTATAAATTTCTTCTTATTTAATATGAGCTATACATCGTCCCTTTTATAGTACAAAGAAGGGAAAAATAAAAGGAAAG